GTGTGTGTGTGTGTGTGTGTGTGTGAGAGATTGGGTGAGTGCCTGGCCGTGTGTGTGTGTGTGAGATTGGGTGAGAGAGCGTGTGCGTGTGTGGTCAGTGAGGACTTCAGCCCACTGTAGATACTGAGCCGGACTGAGTCGATTCATGGCCATTTGAGCCTGTGTTCCTGTCGTCTCGGAGTGCGAAGGGCTGATGTTCCCTTGGTTATACCGTCAGGGCATGCTGAAGGCCAAGAGGCTGAACAACATGATGGCTAGCCTTCAGAACAAAGAGCTCCCTGTGTACAAGGACCGAACGTACACCAGTGCCAGCGGTAAGGAGGTCTCTCTCACCCTGAAACCACTGCAAGGCCTGAATCCCGGAGCGAACACAGGCTCGGTGGTGATCGGCAAGGTTGTGTTCAGTCTGACCGACGAGGAGAAGGTGCCATTGTGAGTCCAGAGTGTCAACGGGAGTCAGAAACGTTCCTCATGGTGTCATCCGGGGCTGCGTTTAGAAGGGGTGGTGTTATCGGGGACTGCATTTAGTGCGGATGGTTTATCAGGGATGGCATTGTGAGGACTGTGTTTAGTGGGGACGGTGTTATCGGGGACTGCATTTAGTGGGGTCAGTATTATTGGGGACTGCGTTTAGTGGGGACGGTGTTGTGGGGACCGCATTTGGCGGGGAACAGTGTTGTGGGGACAGCATTTGGGAGGGATAGTGTTCTCGGGATGGTGTTATGGGGACAGTGTAATGGGGTCTGTGTTTAGAGGGGATGGTGTTATCGAGGACGGTGTTATCGGGGACTGCATTTAAAGGGAGATGGGGTTATCAGGCTTCCTGACTTTATCTGACTTTTGCCCTCAGTACCTTTGGTTTGATCGACACAGAGGGAACGTGCCTGGCCGTGATGGTTTACAACATTGCGGAGAGCTGGGGCGTTCTGATCGGAGACACAGTGGCTATTCCCGAACCACAGCTTAAACAGCACAGCATAGACCACAACGGCAAGGTGAGAGAGACTGGCATATCAGCCTGTGCGTATGCACCTCCCACCACATAAACAAACTTCCATTTACACTCCAGAAGGCCTTGAGTCAAAAGACGGTAGGAAACGGGAACGGGGTTGGGGGGTGGGGGGAGGCCGTTCAGCCCCTCGAGCTGCTTCAGTTGGGCCCATGCTGACCCGACATTGCTCATGCCCACTTTCCCCATGACCGTCGATTCCCCGACTGATCAGGAATCTCTCTGTCTCAGCCTTCAATACCCACAGGGTGTCTGCCCCCCACACATAGCTCTCAGAGGCAAGGAGTTCCCAAGACCCACAGAAACCCTGGGAGAGAAGAAATTCCTCCTCATCTCAGTCCGAAATTGGCGCCCCCTTCATTCTCAGACCGTGCCCCTCCGGCCCTAGACTCTCCTATGACGGGAAAGAAGCATTCTCCCATGACGGGGGGGGAAGCATCCTCCCAACGTTGACCCTGTCGGGCTTCTGTATGTTTCATCTTGCATCCTCCTGAACCCCAGCGAGGAGGCTCCCAGACTGTCTAACCCCTGCTCGTGAGACAGTCCCTCAGTACCCGGGGATCGTCCCAGTGAACCGTCCCTGAGCTGGCCCCCCCTCTCCCCACAACGAAATGATATCTTTCCCTTACATAAGGGTGAAGCGAGACTGCTCAC